TTTATAAGCCGATAACAAGAAAAAATAGATAATATAAATTTTTCAAATTCTGCAATTGAATTTACTTGCGATAAAATAAATATACTTTTTAACAATATTTCAGTGAATAGGTAGTTTGAATAATTGTATTAATTAATGATCCTTTACATATGGAAATATTTTGAATTTTATTTGTTACTCTGAAAAGACATAATTAAAATTAATAGCAGTAGGAAGTAGGGAGAACAGAGTTTTCATGATCACCTATATTTATACAGAGTGTTTAAAATCATACAGTAAATTTTGAAGTAATTTACAAAGTTTGAGTACTCAAAAGAGTAAGTGCCTTAAGCAAAATTTTGTTCTTTAACTTTGGATTCAGGTGAGATTTGTAGCGACCTAATTCAGATACAGATTAGTTTCAAAATGTCACATCTCTCTCAACTTGATCCAGATAGTAACGTCCTCAGGATGACCTGATTTGCGGCAAACAGAACAATCTAGAGTTGTGACAGAGAAAATCCTTTTGAGATAAATGAACTAAAAAAATTGACATTGTCGTATTTATGATCGAAAATTAATTTTAATTTGAGCATCTCACACTTCAATTTTTTGATGGGCAAGAAAAGGTAGTTGCGTTCAAATAGAGTTTCTCTTCTAAAAATTGTTCTATGTCTATATTTTATATAACTTAGCATTAAAAAAATTTCATTCAACGATGAATGTCTTCATTTTTGATAGGATTAAAAATCTCATAAAAGACGTTGGGTAAAAAGAACAAGTACGTTCAATTTTGGCATCTTACTTTTATAATAAACATTGATCTCTGAATATTTCATTGATTCTTGTGTAATGAAAATTGGTCTTTTGAGTTGGGTATTGCACGATTCTTGATGGAGATAAAGAGGATGAGGATGCTAGTATGCATGACTCGTTCTTAGTTCATCGTTTAAACACGTCTGAAGGGTTAAGCCGACTTGCAGGACGATTTAGACGGAGCGTGAAACGAAGGAGCTTGAAATTGCAGTTTACACACCGAGGATAGTCAAGAAAACTTTCCTCGGGATCTCGAGAGCATTTGGTTCTTTGAATAGAAGTGTGCAAAGTGTTTTTTTTTTTGAAAAGCTTTGCTTTCTTTGCGTATAAAGTTGGCGGTGATATCGCATTTTTTTTGAGGAAGGAAAAGAAGCTAATCTTAACTTATGTGACATACTTCTCTTCTTTACAGGAAAACTCCATACATTTTATTTTCACGCAAATATAAAAGAATCTTGAAGATATTTTCTTCTATTAAACTAAATCTACAGTTTTTGTATGAAAAAGAAAATGATTTTAATAACGAGAATGATAACAAAGGGAAATAAAAAATTATTTTTAATGTGACCGTTTATAACTGAAAAAAATAATGAAATAACTGATTCATTCGGAAAACCATAATCCTGTTTGCATAAAATGATTGTATTTTATATTGAATAAGTCTTTTATATTTAAATGAGAAATATTTAAGTATTGATTATTTGTGCAATTAAATTTTTCAGTATCATATTTTACGCGATTTATTTTTAAAAAGTTATGTAAAATGTTCAATTTTTGAGTTAATATATTTATAATTGGACTGTCTATTGTTTGTTAAACTTTATCACATAATAAAACTAATCTCCTACAAAACAAAAATCTTCTTATTTGTTATCATTTTCATTCAATTTCCTCTATTAACAGAATTGTAACAAAGCATTTGTATCTGTTACATTTAAAAATGACACTTTTTTTGCTAACAGTTTCAATAAAATATTCAATAAATTCGAGTTATATTTAACTCATTTAAATTAAAAAAAAATACAAATCTCTGTTGGAGTGATGGGAATAATAACCCCAGGATATATTAAATATTCAGTTGAAATTAGTTCTTAATAGAATCTCTTTGAATGTATATAGAGTTAAGGAAGCAGAGATTTCTAGTTCACTTCATGTTTAACAAACATTGGGAGATGCTTAGTAGTATTGACCCAATTGTCTTGGACGTCTAAGAATCGTTCGTAAGGTTCTAAGTATTACTACAGATGTCTAGTAGTATTGCTCTTCTAGATATCCATTACTTGATTCAAGTAGCTCAATCTTGCCTGAGTGAGCATGCAGTGATGTATTGCCAAGGTTTAGAATTCCGTCTGTGTCTCAGCACCCAAGTATCCATTTGAACGTCTGCCCATCACGTCTCTGTTCCCCTTAGTCCTATTGGACCAGCTTGAATTACAACATTCAACCGACTTGCTGGTATAATGATTAAACTTGTTCGCAGCATTTGCAACAATACACCACTGACATCCTCGTGATCTAAACAAAAGCTTTTAGGTTGATTGATTAACATAAATTCATTTGTCTCCCTGCTTTATTTATTGGATTATATTTTTCTAATTCCTTGAATAATGAAGAGTTTCGTGAAATCAAAGAATAATGAAATTTGATTAGAAAAAAAAAATTCGAGTGATGAATGACTTCTCCTTTAATTATCTAAACTGATGAATTAGCCTAGTTTTCAGTTCAAATTATTTGAGACATTTTTTGTCATGAAAAAACTGAAATGCTCATCTTTGATAGAGATAAAATGAAAGTGAAATGATGAATTTCACAGATGAAGATGTAGGTTAATATGACTGGTTTTTAAAGCAAATGTAATTATTCATATTTTGAGTAACAATAATGATATGTGAATTAAATATCTTCACTGTTCATTTTTTTGTTAGACGTACTTTTGACATAGATGAATCCTTTGTGTTAACTTCAATTTGTGCAAAAGAAATTATTTCTAATATAAAGAAAATTATAATATTTAAGGAAGATTAGTCTTTTCAAAGCGATATTTGATCTTGTAATATGAGAAATATATGAGAAATTTTGGTTCTTTATAATATGATGACATTATCAGAATATCACAATACGTTGTTAATGTCACTTACGATGTTCCGGCATCTTTCGGTCGATATTAACACTCCTTCATAAACGTAAATTTGTAGAGGAGGATCACTATGATTAAATCAACCAATTTTAGTGTCATGATATGACGCAAATATTAAACTTTAAAGATGAAATTTTATTAACCAACTTCAAGATTTTATAAATTTGCTTTCAAGTTTAGAATTCATTTTCACAACATTTTAAAAACATAAATTTATACTTTTTAATCCCGAAGCGCTCTTTTATCTAATAATAATGGTCTGAATACAATCTTTACTAAATAAAGATTGAGTTCGTGTAATTTTATGTTCTTGCTTACTTCATCAGCAATAAATTTTCAAGAAAATACATTAATTCAGTATTGAAAATTGATATATGTATAGCTAATAAATATTCACTTCCATTCCAATACAATCTTGTTTTATATCGATAAAATAGATCATATAAATCTATCTACATATAAGAACGATTTATTCATTGATTTTTGTCATGAGTTGATATCAAACAATTTATCAATTAATTAATTTCTGGTTTTAATCACTATTGAGTACTCAATTCATTACAATGATTTGTCTTACAAAATAGAACTATTCTAATCAGACAAGGTGTTGCCAAGTTGTTCTAAACTTTATATATGTATATTACTTGTGAAATTTATTTTAAATAGATCAAAAATAGTTTGGAAAAATTATATTAAAAATGGAATCAGTTTTAGAGAACAAGACAAATCGATTAAGTGCTCGCCAATGGAAATCAGTCAAACTGTTCACGAGATATTGTTGATGGAAAATCTGTTACCGTGCATGTATGTACATACATATATGCATAGATAAAGAAATATTCGCATATAGATTCAACAACAATACTTGTATCCATGATCTAATTTCCAAACCTAGTATTATTATTAAATGAAACGATGATTGTTAAAAAAACTTTTTAGAGATAACTTGATTTAAAAGTTGTACACTATTTTTCAGGGATTCTTGCTGATGTACTTTAAAAAAAAAATGAGTAGAATGATTGGTGTATTTAACTAAATTCTATTCATTTTATAAAGAATTCAGTGCTTCTAACGACACCCAAAAACTTTTGTAATATATCTAGATGAAAAACTTTATTACATGTATCAAAATTTTACTACATTTCACAACCAAGTTAAAAGCCATAAAAGCAAAGAGCTTACCTACTCATGACTCGTTGTCTTCACAGCTTGTAATGTAAAAGTCCTGTAATGATAGTTGAAAAATCGAGTTCAGGCTAAAAAATAGGTAAGAATGTATTTTCTTTGATTTTTTAATTACAAACCATTATTGAAAGCATGTTTTTCCATAATTATAATAACGTTAAGAAGTTTCAAAGTTTCTATTTCTATACCATGCTCGAAATAACACTTTTACCACTATTGTAACTGGCAAGGAGTTACAATCTCATTAAAATAAATTATGTATTTTTCATAACAATGACATTAATTTTGTTATATTGAAACATTTCGTTTGCTCAACACTGTTTACTTTAGTAATATTTCCTCGAGGAGTACAGTTGTATTTCATTTGAAAACAATATACTACTTTTCCTCGTGATGAAATTTGTAAATGGAAGTAGTTTTTTTTATTGTAAATGAATTTAATGGGAATTAAATGTTCTTATAATGAAGGAAGAATCTGTGTTGAATTTCGCTGTAAAATAAATAGAAAATTCTCGGAAGAATTCAATTGGAATGGAAGAACATATATTAGTGATGCAGATGAAGGTTCCACAAAAGATGTTGACGTAAGCTTGCAGACGAAGTACGGAAAATGAAGAAAGTCATTCGACTGTTGAACTTAATTAATGAAATGAAGTTTGTAGTAAAGAATCATCTGATCAATTAATTCACTTTTTTGGTTGATCATGAAAAATAAGATGTTTTTTAAATTTTAAAAGAATCCGTGATATCTTTATTATCTCGAGTGATCTTTATTTCATAATTATTTAAATATTCATTTAAATAGAAAATGGCTCTTCTTAATAGTTAATTTTCAATTGTTTCCACAATTTCTGTTGATTTCATGTAGAAAGCTTTTAGATAAATTAATTTTATTCAAAATTTCTTGAAAATTGTGTTTTTTTCTTCTTTGATTTTAATAAATTCTAATGCTCGCTCATCAGAATTGAGAAACGAAGGTACTCTGTAGAACGTCAAGGAACACAAATAGTGAAGGTTTCTCATTAACTATTGGATTATTCATTAATCCATCACTACGTTTCTTTACTGAATGTTTTTTTCTTTTTTCTAATCCAGTTTTTGCTGAGTTCTATCGAATGTTATCTGGATGTTCTGTCCAAGTCTCTCGTGCACCAGGTGGTCATAATTTCTGCCCCGCTACTTTATGGCAACTTGAAGTATCGAAAATCGTGGGCAAAGAGGTTAACGTGAGCAAAAATCCCCCGAGGTCTGTCTTTCTTTATACTTTTTTCTTCTTTACTTACTTTAACTTCAGAATGTTTCAGGGGACTCGTCTGTCGTGAGAGAAAGCAGATACATTTCCCACATGCTTCCCTTTTGTGATAAACTCCATAGACAGCGATACACCCTGCCTTTTACTCTCCCTTCACTTTTACGAAACACTACCTATACCACAATTCGGTCTGAATCTTTAATCCCTTTTCTGCGCCCTAAGGCAAGAGACAGAGCGAATTTCCGGTGGGAAATCGGAATTGGTTAGCGATCCACTTAGACAACTTTGTTGGAACTTTAAAAGCTCAATAGGGAGTACTTTTTTTTTGTTTCTTTTACCTTTTTCCTTCCTCTTTAAATACAAAATCTTTCACGCGTTTTCACGCGTATATTTGGTAAAATTTTAACGCTGATATTTCTCTGCTTCTTTATGTAGTGGTTGGGAATACTGAAAACTTTGCGATATGAATACCAAGAGGGAAAAATATAATTTTCATGGAGAGTTTGTTCGTTGCGAATTTTTTTTTTTTGATTTTATTTATTTATTATCTGCTGAGCGTATTTTTATGTATGGATATAAAAAATTCTATTTTTATTAAATTATTTTCATGTTAATTTGCTGATTAATAAAACGCGTAAAAATTTATTCCAGCATACAAAAGAAATTTTTGGATAACAATTACCCTTACAATGTAGGTCAAGTGAAAGCAAGTTAGATATATAGTAAAAACTATGAAATTCTAAATAAAAATTTCTGTAAAAGAAACAGTTTAATTAAATTATAAAAAAGTGTTTATCTTTTTAAAAAAATTTTTAACTTTTTCAAAAGTGATATTAAATATTTTTATTGGTAGCGATTTGTCTTTACATGAGTTACAACATCACGGTAAATTCGAGATGATTTATATATTTCACGTGTGATATGTATTTATTTAATGTACGTTACATGTATAACGCCATTAACAAACTATACTGTCTGTATAAACCTTTCATACATTTTTTTGCATGTAAAAAGTGTCTACAAAATTAATGTTGTTTAGTTCATTTATGGCGTTATACATTACATGTATGAATTTTAAATATGTGTAAAGGTATTTTAGATTAACAGTGATAAGGGTCATTTTTTTATTCTATTTATTTTTTCAAAGTTTCAACAGCTCAAAGGCTAATGGCAAAGTTACCAAAGGTTTTTATAGAATTACATGTTTTTTGTCTATACCATTAAGTCGTGTTTTATACCTTATACTAATTGAAATTTCTAGTATCGATGTCAAAGTTGTCCACCATGAAAAATTTAAAGTAAAAAAATTCAATTAAGTATAATAGAACTTATCAGATTAATTTTTTCTATCTGTTGAAAAGTGAGTTTTTTCTTGTAATGCACTTGAGTTGGAATTATATATATATAATGTCTGCACAAGTTGAGAATCAGCAAAATTTTATTATTTTATTTTTACTTTAATGGATACCAAAAAATTTATAGGCTTGAAAGCAAATGATAAATTGCTTAGTTTCGTGTTTAATTTGCGTTGGATAACAGTGATTTTTATCAAAAATAAAATTCTTGATGGGTAAAATTTTTTTATTTTTTTTGTGACACTTCTTGATTACCTCTTGTGAGTTTCACTCATGCACTACTTTTATCGCGAAGACTCACAATATCTGCAAAAAGCGAGCAAAATTTATACTTTTAATAAAATCATTCCATTTCTATCTCTAAATAACTATCTTATTTTCAAAAAATGGAAGAATTTAAGAACTGAAATACATCAATCTCCTGAAGATAAATATGCATAATTTTTGTCACCATTATTATATCTCAAAATATTTATATTTATATTGTGTTGTAAAATAGAAATATTTGAAGAAAGGAAGTAAATTTTTTTACGACTGTACTTATTCTTTTAAGAATCGTATTATTCATTTTTATGTTTCTCTTTTATTATTTTATCATATAATCAAGAACTGGATAAAAATATGATGGTGTAATTTAGACGTAAGAGTGTCAGAAAGAAAAGATAGAATCTAATGAGATTTACCTATTGCCAAATCTGAAGATTAGCCAAATTTAAAACTTTTCATTCCTCTAGGATAAAAATTCCACATTATTTCTTCTCTCTGACTCATTTTCCTCGTTTTAAGATAATAGAATTTCTTTTGGTCGTTTAAATTCCATCTTAGTTTCCAAAACTAAAAGATAATCGAGGCTCTTTCATGATATGCTCACGGTATCTCATTAATCTATTTTTAAATGTAATTTTTTTAGTTTTAAAAAAAAAACTTTATTTACATTTACTAAAATAATTCTTTAATTTTAATTAATTATATTTTTTTATGTATTTTAATTTTTGTATAAATATTGAGTTTTCATTTAATTTAGCTGAAATAAGAAGGGAAAAAAAAAAAATTTAAACAAATTGAGATCGACCAAGTCTTGTTATTTGGTTTGTTATATCAGTTACGAACGATCAAGAACAGCTAATAAAAATTTTTCGTTTTCTTTGTTTAAATAATATCAGGCGATACACGAACCTCAGCGCCAGACAGTATCCGGTGTCTTGTTTGTTAATTAATGAGGTGATTTGCCTCGGAAAAGCCACGTTTAGTAATACAAAAACATTTGTTCAAACAATAGAAGCCCTAATAAAAACCGCCTAAACGCGGAAGCTAATCAGTTAGTTGAAATTGAGGGAACTGCTGACACTAGATTGCTGCTGCTCTGCTAACGCTGACTGCGGTGGACATAAGTGTGAGTACCTGAAGTAAATTATCCGGTCTAAGCTTATTATTTAACACTTTGGTCGAATGATACAGTGAATCAAAGGTTGATTTATTTTATTAAAAGAATCTTGAGCTATTTGAAACATCTCTCTCTATACAACAACTTAATTAATAATCGTAGAGGTAAGCACATTTATTTTATATTACATTTACTGTATTAAATAATTTTAGGTTGTTTGCAACATCCATATGTGTTAATCATACATAATTGTTTCACTTATTGTGGATCAACTCATATCCTAATCCTCTCCTTCTTTAATTGAAAAATAACAATAACGTCCAAGATTCTTGAGATCGTGAGAATTACCTCATCTTTGTTTTTCTACCTGACAAGAGAAGTCACGACAAGTGTCAACTCACCTTCGATATTATTCACCGAAGCACGGTAGACTCTACTTAGGTTGAATCAGTTGTCTCAATACAAACTAATATTTCACTATAATATAATTAGTATTGTTTTAAATACTGTAATAATGTTATTTGTAGTGGAATAGTGATATTGATCAATGCAACATAATTAGAGCAATTACGGATGAGATTGCCTGGCCCATTCAATTCAGATCGCTGGATCATCTCTCCTTAATCTCTCTGATGCAATCGTCTCTATACAATTTATGCTATGTAACAATTTGTACTGTATTATTATAAACAATGTTTGTTGATATATATTTTATTCTTATACAAATAAAAAGCCATCAAGTTTATAAATTATAATAAACATGAATGTAAAAATAATATATAATTAAAAATTATTATAATTTCAAATATGCATATTATAAACCATTGATTAAAAAGAAGTATAAAAATGTTCAATAAATTTTTTTACTAAGAGCAATTTTTTGTCAAACGTTAAAATATGCTTTAATTAGCATGTCTTATAGTTAAAAATATTCCATTCTTTGACAAAGGAAAAAAGGAAAAAAAATGTTGAAAGTCTTTGCTCTTTTTCTATTCATCGTCTTCGAAATTACGTGGTCGTCTGAACGAGGTTTCCACGAGTTCACGTGCAATAACCAAGAAGATTGTAGATAACGAGACTTGCAGCAAGATTAACCCTCATCTTCTCTTCTACCCTGCTCTGACGACTATCACCCTCTGAAGCTTCGCGGTCTAGAAAGATGTACTAGAACACGGTGAACTCGTTGACGCTACATACACATTTATATATACCTTTAGTTATAGGAGATAATAACGCGTGGTAGATCCGGAAGGCTGAAGAGGATCAGCCGGATCATAATATCGCGACATAGCGTCTCAGTAATTCGATATAACTCGTTACGATGTCAGACGTCACTTCGTAGGTGACACTATCCTTTAGATACATTTTCAGCCATGTCAAAGTTTAGATGTAGCTTTGCATAATTAACATCTTGATACATGGAAATTTCTCAATCTCCCTGATCATTTACTGATTCTTGTTAACATTATTCGTAGACTAAATAATGCTTTGTGGATAGTGTCATTATTTTTTTCTTGTTGCTATATTTGGTATTTGGCTTCATAAGAATAGCTTTTTTTATGAGCTATTCATCCTAATCAAGAGTGACGTTGATTATTTTTATTTACGAGACTATCCATAGGTTGTCTGACTTCTGAGAGCTTGTCCAGAAATATTTCGTCCTCAATTTTTTCCTTACATTTTTTAACGAGAAAATGAAGGTTATGTTAAAAATGAATGAAAATCAACGCTTAATTAGTTTTTTTTTACATAAAAGGAAACCACTGAAAGTAGTTTTTAACTTTTTTTTCATTGGAATACAATTTACGAATATGATGTAAATTAATTTTTCTATTATTCATATAATAATTTATATTAGCATACCACTAAAGACATGTTTTATAATTGTTTAATTAAAACGTAAAAATAGATTAATTTATAAACGTTAATTACATTGTATAATTAGATGAGTGTAACGAATTGTTCATATTTTACAATTGTTTTTACATTGAATTACAAAGAAAACAATTTGAACGTCAGTATTTATGTTAACAATAATATTATTATTGTTCCACAAAGTTGAATAATTGGATTATCGTCATGTATTATTTCAAAATTAAATATTGCTATTAGGTAATATTATTCGATACGAGGGCTTTGTTCTATTGAATAGCCGATAAAACAGTTTTTCTAAATCGATCTAGTTGTGTTTAGAGATATTGAATTTCATATTTGTACGATGTTATCGAACAATGCCTTCATGATCTCATTAATCTATAGATACGTAATTATGTTTGACAGAGATTTACATACCCAATTATTACACAATTCTTCTAATAATAAAAGTAACATTAGGCTATATAATCATCATTGATGATACGCTAATTTATTCTTATAATACTTAAGAAGGTGTTTTGCTATCAAACTTTCTAATTTCCTAACAATATTAATGATACCAATATTAGACAAAGTTTAATTTTCATGTGTGCTGTTTAATAATAGAATAAAATTAGATAGCAGAGAAAACGGTAGAGCGTAGCATGTCGCAATATTGATCCTGGAGCATAGGACGTTACTCTTGTGAGTCAATTTCTCTAGGTAGTCCCTAGATTCTCCTAAAGAACCTCCAGACCTAACACATACTTTGCAAAACTTACGGTCATCTTTGAAAGAGTCTTATGTTTCAGAAAAGGTCGTTATCCACTCCCTAGACGATTTCCGGTTTAGGATTGCCTGT